CTTCATGTGAAAGAGGCTGTATGACACTCTTCGACCTCTTTAACTCAAGCAGTCATTACTCCAGCCATTGAGGAATATTTATTGGAACCCTCAAATATTTTGNTTATTGTTTTTTGTTAAAATAAATCTCTGTGAAAAAACTCTACGAACTTATGTTACAACCCAATATATTGAGCATACCTCAAAAAGCTCTACCCGCAAAGTGAAAGTTCTAAAAAGCAGATGAAACAGTGCAGCCTTCAGGTGTAGCCTCTGTGGACGGCTAATATTAATAGTGGCTTAATGGGAGTCGGTAGGTCCCTTACGCTATTCGATTTCATCACAGAGAATCGAAACTTGCGTAGATGATATGTGACTTTGAAGAACAGTAGATGGTTGGTGACAGCGACTGATAGCGGTTGATATTCGCTAATAAAGACCTGTAGAAGGTGAGACTTACTGATTTGGCCACGCCCTCCCTGTCAACAGCAGAACCTCGATGGTAAATGGTACGAAATCTGACAGAATCGTGGGTGCTCGATGGTAGGGACTGACAACAATGGATAGTGGCTGAAAAGGAGTCATAGAAGAGAAAGACTGTCTAGCCGGTTATCGCAGATCATAGTGACAAAGACTAATAGCAAGTGATGAGTGCTGGAAAGAACTGTATAAGGCAAGGGTTACGAGGTCTGTAACGTCACTCGTGTGGACAACGGAACATTGTCCCTCGGATGGTGCCGAGGATTGTGATGGGATTTCGCTGACAGGGAGAGACAACAAGTGATAAGAACTGGTAAATGAGATATTGATAGGGAGAGTCAGTGAGTCTGTAGTGTTTTTGATGTTAACAGTGGAATTTTGAATCCCAGATAAGTGATGTGAAGTGCTTGAAATCGCATGCACGAGGGTGACAGAAACTGATAACATATGATAGAGACTGATAAAATGCGTGGAGGTCAGGAACCACTGGGTCGGTTGCTCTCTCATAGTTGATATAGAAACCTGGTTCTTTTTTCGAGAGAATTTTAGATTTTAGTTCCTGGTCCTATTAGTGTATACAATTTAGCCTTAACACTTTTATATTATTTTGAGCATAAAACGGGATGATGAGCGATTAGTGCAGTGAGTTTGGTTCATTCCTTGCCATTAGATTACCCCAGTACGCCTCAGGACCCAGTCACCTCAAAACTCAGTCAGGGACCATCTATTCTCTTTATTCCTATATCAGTTACCACATAACTCATCCGACCATCAGCAATCCAGGACTCGGGAGCCACGTATTCTCTTCATTCCGATATCAGTTGCCACGAAAACCATCCGCCCAACAACATGCCGAAGCTCAGTAGTAGACAAGTCGGTGTGCTAGTAGACTCAATGAGAAAGGTACTGACTTCTAGTTCTAAAGTGAATGCTTGTTAGATCATTTGTTCCATTTCGAGGAATGGATGCCAATACTGATCGCACTGAGGCACCGCAGTACGATCTTGTTGAAGCTATTAGGGAATCTAGGCGTTCCGGCTAGTTTCACTATACATCCAATATATCAAGTGGTGTTCTGTGCAATGATTTCGTACTCTCTTTCGTAAAAATAAATATGCAAAGGTAGCCTTTATTTGTAGCCTTTCTTTGCAATAAATGCTTCCATAGTTTTATTCATTCGTTCCTCAGGTTTTCAAAATCGCTAAATTCAATCGATCTGCTACGGTCGGAATTATTCGATTTCTTCTTCCCTTTCTTCATGTGAAAGAGGCTGTATGACACTCTTCGACCTCTTTAACTCAACAGTCATTACTCCATTGAGGAATATTTATTGGAACCCTCAAATATTTTGAATTGGAATCGGCGCGTGGCTCGTCCTGAATGGATATATCAACGCTGACGTGTTCACTATGCAAATTAGTTAAAGTGCTGTACGAATAGAAAAATCTGGAAACAAAGTATGGCTTTCAGGGTGGAAGATGAGGTATTCACTGCCCGTGTTGAGGAGCGATCACCACTTCTCTCGGTAAAGCTGCCGGAAAAGTTCCTTAGAAAGCACTACTATTCGAAATTCTACCTAGACATCAACGTGAACAGGCTAGTTAAACTCATTTATCCGAAATGAGCTAGACTTTGAGTCACCGAGTCCGTAACATTTATGGAGCTCCTAAATCATTTTCCCGTAGGAGGGTTTTTTCGAAGATTCTTTTTTTCAGATTAGTCAGTACAAGAGATGTCGGCATGACGCTGATGGACATAGCCAAGATGGATTTCGAGGGAACCCCAGCGAGCAAGCAGGTTGATGAGCGTGGGTTTGTTCTCTGGATATTAGTGAGTACAAATTTTGTTTGCAACTCCGTTTTCAGTCGGGGGAGCATCGCTATTACAAGTTGCACATGCAGTTTATCGTTCATGCGATGACGCAAAAATACCTCCTCGTCTCTGTCTGTGCATGGATGAGAAGACTCTTCTATCAAAGCGGTACACGAAGTTGGTCCTTCATATTTCACAGAGAAGCGTATGAAGCATAAATTCGATGTTAAAGGTTACTTGAATATCAATGTCCAAATTCACTTCAAATCAAAAAAAAAGTAAACAGCAGACTTCCAATTCCTACTCTTTATGAAAACTATGGCAGCCCTGTACTTACCATTTCAGTGAGACTGCGGAATTCCGTCAGTTGTTCGAATATTCCAAAACAGAAATACTCAGAAACGAGTGTCTGCAAAATGTTACTGAGGCCCCTCAACATCACACACTCAGCGTTCTGTCCCTCAATGCGATGGTTCAGCAAGGAGTCAGACAAGAAAACGAGTAAGCTTTGCGTTGCAGCAAATAGTAACTCTAATTTTTTACTCGATAATCGGTTTAAGGAAATCAAATCATTCTCATATCATGGGGGTGGGGATTTTGTGCACGAGAGGCACGAAAACCCTTCGCGCTTCCCACGAATTCGTCTAATAAATGGAGTACGCGAAGTATCTGCCCTTTGGTTTTGTTTCGCACTTTCGTGCAGGAAAATATTAGTATAGGCAAAGACCCAGGGGTTTCTTCCCAGCACATAGAAGACCCGCTCAAGAAGGAGTCATACTGTAGATTTATTTGACATTACTTCCCTCTACACAAAAGGGTAACTTTGCTTGGAGCTTTCATTGTCCATTCAATTATATTTATAAAAAATATATATGTATATAAATCATCGGCACGTCCGCATGTCCACACGGCCAAGAGTAGGCCCCCCACGTGCTAGAGCCTGGCAAGTTATACGTGGATTCCATGCCAAAAACAGTAACAGAAATGGGCCTCATTCCCCTGAACCTGAGGGAGCCCCCAATACGGCGGCGTTGGGTAGGACCGCTCGGGAGAGGCTGCTAAAATCTCAGGGCCAAAACAGGCTGCCCGAAAGGAGAAGGACTAAGATGGCGATCTGTACTTTCAACGCAAGGACGCTTGCATCGGAAGCGTGTATAGAAGACCTGATGATGCAAGCTAGGAAAATCAAGTACGACGTCATCGGACTGACCGAGACGAGAAGGCACCGCCCGCTGCACGCTGTATTTGAAACTGGAGAAGAACTGTTCCTTGGAACATGCGACAGCAGAGGCGTCNAACATCGAGGGAGTAGTGAAGAAAACGAAGAACATCCGGCTCCGCGCTCACCTTTTCGACACTGCGGTACTTCCTGCTTTGACATACGCCTCAGAGACTTGGACTCTACGAAAGCAGGATGAGCATGCAGTTAGCGTCATTCAACGCGCTGTGGAAAGGACGATGCTCGGAATTTCCCTATACACGCAAGTGCAGAAGGGAATCCGGAGTTCCGAGCTCCGTCGACGAACGAAGATCAGGGATGCCGTTGATTACGCCAAGAGATCGAAGATCAGGTGGGCCGGACACGTTATGCGATATAATGATGACCGTTGGACCAGGGCGGTTACGGACTGGATCCCTTGGGACGTCAAGCGAACACCAGGACGGCCGCCAACGAGATGGTCAGACTTCTTCACGAAAGCTCTGAAGGAAAGGAATGTATTGCCCCGTGTCCCTCGAGCGAGTGCGATTCACTGGACTACTCTGGCTCGCGACAGGGACGAATGGAGACGTTACTGGCGCCCGCTCGAGGAAATCGACGATCAACGGGAGTACAGGTGATACAGGTGATAGGTGATACACAAAAGGGTCAAACTGTCCAACATGCAGGCTATCCACGAACTTTGTATGTATCAGTTTCTCATGTGATAACTTTGGTCAAGGAATGTCTTCACTGCTCTGTATTCAGGCGGTTCGGGCGATACTCTAAGCAAATCAGGGAATCAGCCTTGGGTCAACGGTTGGCACCAGTGTAGGTCATCATGTCGAAAATAAAAAACGTGTTCTGGATCGCTGGCCTGGGCGTTACTGCAGTTACGTAGGCGAGTACTTTGTCTCTTGCTATGTTCAGAGGGGAATGGACACGTGTTTTGATCTGCTAGGGGATCAAGCTAACAGTATACGATTTACACGGGAAAAGACCAAGGGCAGTTGGTTGCGTTACACAACGTCCATGATCAACTTCAGCGAGGATTTGTGCGGACCAAGTGATTTGGTGAACCGACAACTAAGAACATTTTGGTCCGTAACAGGTCGTCCACTCAAAATAGGCGGGAAATTATAGTGAACATATTTAGACAGACGAAAATAATATATGTAGAGCTCGCTCAAAAATGAACATCACTGATGGATATCCATTGAAGGATCATACCTTCGCAGATCATACAGGCTTGCTGCCGAAAACTCGGAGAAGATGACTTTTTGCCTTCCCTTTGTGCTGAACTCCATCAATGCTAACGTGAGAGCGATTTTACGCAAATGGACCCGGATGACATGGTGGCGGTGGTCGATGTGCCTTCTACAGGCTTGAGGCAGAAGCCGGTCTGTAAGCGTTTGCCTGACCGTTTTTGCATTACCCTCCTTCCCACTGTACCATCTGCTTTACCGGACGAGAGGGCTCAGGGTTAATCTCCTTGATCACATGGCGGAGTCTAGTTTTGCTACCAACCATAAGTGTTCTTACAGTGTAAGTCCATGGGATTAGGAGTTATGAATTTTCTGTCCGACACATAAACCGGCACACACACGCACTCTAATACACATACATACATTGTACATTACATTGTACATTCTCGCACACAAATACACAGACAAACCAACAAACGCACCTACCATTAGTCCGTTATACTATATTGTAGGATATTAACGGACTTTACCACCCATGAACTAGTCTGCATCAACATTTCGACGTATAATTTCGTCCTCTATTCAAGCATATTTTGCCGATGAATTTTTTGCGCACCGTGCCCATGTTCTGTGTAGACACCAAACAGGCACACTGGGTAGAAAAGGCAGTGAAGTGGACAGAAAATATGTGGGATTGCATATGGCTTCAGATCGAAAGGATTCGGTTGTCACGATATCTGCAATTATTTTCGTCGAAACATAAAGTGTTCACAACTCGTAAACAGATATGTCGGGCTATCACTTACCCCTGTTGGTTTGTTAGTAATCCTTATAACAACCTCACTGAGAACTTGCAGTTCCAGTTTTAAAGGCATATTGCGTTTGCTATAAAATGGGCACTGTCACGACACTGCCACATTCACAACCTTTTTATTTGGTGTTTAGGCAAATTGCGACTCAGGTAATTGTAAATAAAGAATTCTAGCTGGAAGGAAGCACGTTTCATCCATCATGACTTAGGAATGAGCTACGTCGATATCGTCGTCATGGTGTACCCTGTTCCTAGAAGCGTTGACATACAAACGGTTTGTTGAGTCTCGCTTCATATCTGCGATTACTAGGTGTTGTCGTCGGATACGTCTGAAACATTACAATTCAGGTGAAATTCACCGCTCAAATGCGGTTTCGGAAAGGTGCAAAGGAAGGATTTGAACCTATAGGTGTTCCATTCATTAGCTGGGTGAATCAGAGATGTCACGCTCGCCGAGTGGACCAATACTGTGAAATGTGCCACTACAACAATCTTATATCTCCTTAACACACAATTTCTATCGAGCAGCGACCTGCCAGTGCAAAAATTGGGAGACTGTCTACCGCTGCCAAACATTCAGCTGAAGTCCGTGCGTGAGACACGACTGAATTTCATCTGACTGGCTAACTGGATCACTCTTATCGACATACTGAATCTTTCGTTGATTGTGCTTGGAATGGTCATGTATGTATAATTTGTCTTTGCCAATCTCAAGGTTCTTCTTTACTATCGTACTTTTGTTTGGTACTTGTTTGTGTGTGTTTGTTTGCTTGTTCAAGAATAAATGCTAACAGTTGACCGATTCCTTTAAAGTCTGCCGGGGATCTTCTGACGAATCAATAAGTGGGACTGTTCCAGAATTTGGATCCTGGGGAAGGGTCGACGAATACTTCAGTCGAGATCGTTGTTATAGAGGAAAAAATCAAAGAAAAGCGCCCACGCATTCACTTCCATTCAGAATCGTAGTGGCGTGTTGAATGCGTATGTGGCCAACAAAACTTGCGGTGGCAAGCCGATGTACAAGTCAGCGCTTTTATACTTTCAAACGAGTCTGGACCAGGCTGGAAGGCTGGTAGAATACATTTACCTTTTGAATCGCGAAGTCTCTAGAGAAAATTAAATCGGTCAGAGTACAGTTGCAGCGCAAATCAAGAATCTTCCCCAATATCTCGCAGAAGAAGAAGGGAGAGGAATCAACTGTTCCGATTGCTTGGTTATTGGTTCATCTATAATACATAGCATCGGATCGCGCAAGAACTGCCAGAGAATCGACTGCATATTGCTGCATTCCGGTTCCAGAATGAACTGTTTTTTGGAAACGTTGTAACTTCTTGAAAACGCCGGAATGCATACATTCTCGAAAAAAGAAAAAAGAACAAGAAATACGGCGAACTCAATCTTATCAAGATAAGCGGCTTCTCTTTACGAGGAATAATGAGCAGAATTTGGATAATTGCGCAATTCCAAGACAATTCCAGCTTTTCTGTGCAATTGTACTCGTACAAAGTCTGAGCTTGTTGCATATCTGGAGATGGTTCTCTCCAGAGCGACATAGAGCGTCATTCCGTTTTCGGTCTATAATCGTAACTGGCGCACTTTTTCGGTGCCTAAAAACATGTATATAAGTCGGAATTTTAGGAGAGGAGAAAGACTAGGGAACTCGAAGGCTCTAACTCGTCCGCTTCACTTTACACCACACTGGTCTGAAGTATAAAGCTGTTACCATCAAAAAACTAAAAAAAAAAACTGTGGAAAGTTTGTAATAATGGGCGCACTTACTTACGGTCATAGTTCATCTATTAGATAAACAACATGATTCTCAAGCAGGAAAGCCAGCAGCTGCAGTAATCTGTGAGAAATCTATCGAGAAACAGATTGGAATTGAGCAGTAATCTCGGAAAAAGTCACATGGATTGCAAAACTGTCAAGGGTGATGAAGAACCAAGAAGCAACCACTGGTTCCGCTCATGCCAGCACCTCGACGCAAGAACAGCGAAGGAGCCAATGTAGCTACGAGAGAGCATTTTAGTGTAAATACTGTTCCTAATTATTAACCTAGAAATTTTCAAAAGACGTATGATCCATTGTTCTGGCACATAAGGCGTCACAATTTCCGCAGATGATCCATGTTTTATGAGCAGAAACATTTGTATCACATACAGTAGCGCTCAAAGGTCTTCGGTGAAATGGTTCTTCAGCCGTACTTCTCAATCGTAACTCCCTTCCTACTGGATCTAATCATGTGAAATTTCTATATTTGGAGCGTGGGTGTATTGTGAATATTTACCACT